GGATGAGAAATCAGCACTGCTTGCACTGGTAACTCAGCAATGAGGAGCTGAGAGCCATATTCCTCACAGAAAAGGTCCAATCACACTTGATGGGCATAGCGTTGAAATCAATATAAGCATGATACTAGAACCTGGAGGACATTCACAATGCTAGGAAGGACAGTTCAACAGATAAACTAAATCACTGGCCATTCTCAGTTTTCTTCTTACATTTACTTGTACATTTCTTGTTTATGAAAGAGCTAGTAACTGTAGCATAGGGCATATTGGGACCAGCTATTTTACAGTCTTAGGTTCAAAATTAGGAAGCCTTTTGAATAGTGACAGGGAAAAAAACCCAGGAAACAAAATGCTAAAATAGCCTGCTGTTGATACTTCTTTTCTTGCTAATCAAATCCTTGTTTTCCACTTCCTTAATCAGCCTACACACTTGTTCAATCTTACTTTACCTTTCAACAGAGTTCTAGCATAGGACATGAGAGTTAGAAATTTCTTGTTTCAGTCTTTCAGGGAGACAGCAAGACAGCTCCGAAGGTAAAGATGCTTTCTGTGCAATCCCAACCTTAGTGTAACTCCTCAAACTCACATAAAGGTTGAAAGAGGAAACTGACTCCACAGACTTGCCCTCTGACCCCCACATGCATCCTGTGACAGTGACACAAAAACCCACTGACAAGACACACTCACACACACACACACACACACACACACACACACACACAGTGTACTGACAAAAGCTTGTCTCTACCATCTAAAACGTATTACTTCACCAAAATTTAATGAATTCTTTTATATTTTTCAAGTATTTTGTGGCAAGTACTTACTGACTGAGCCATCTTCACAGCTTCAATGATTTTAATATTTATTTATTGCGTTTATTTATTTCACATGAGGCAGGGAGCCATGTGTACACTAGAGTGTATGTAGAAGTCAGAGGACAAGTTATACAAGTTGGTTTTCTCCTTCCACCATGTGGGTCCCACATGAGTCGACAGATTCAGCAGCAAGCACCTCCACCCACTGAGCAACCTCGCTGGCATGTCTGTCTGTCATCTATCTATCTATCTATCTATCTATCTATCTATCTATCTATCTATCTATCATCTATCTATCT